ATGAAGTTGGTGGGTTTGATACAGTACAGTTCCTCTTTTAAGAACATCTGTGAAAGTAGGAATCTGCTTATTAAAATGGTAAACCTGTGAACTGATTTTATTGTTATGTTCTCCAATTTAGCTGAAATTGTATATGTTAATGGCTTCTACACGTATATGAAATGACAAATCATTATGCCCTCACCAACTAGCCAGGCTTTTAATTTGCAGGGATTGAAAATAATATTTAGTGGGCATTGCTGATGAATTAAACTTCTTATACTGGCACACGTGATTTCTCTGAGATTTAACTAGTCCAGACTGTTCAGTCTGTCATTTGGTTTTTCAGCCCCTGAATTCTGCAATGGGTTTGCATTTAATTAGGCTTTAGGAGACCTTGAAAGGAAAGCATGACTTTCTCACTTTTTGGTCACAACTAGTAGTTGCATAAAACTTCATTTTATGCAACAAATTGCTGTGCCAATTTTAGGATCCTGAAGAAAACTGAAACTGCTGAAAAAAAATAGGCTTTGTTTTAATGTTTTCATTTTCTACTCCCTCATGTTTTTTTACTTCAAAATATTATCCACGCTTTAGTGTATATGTAGTTTTATACATAGATGAGTTCACCAAAAAAAAGTTATACCAAAGACATTCCATAATCCATCAATCTCTTTCTTTAAAACTAATAGCAATGACAACATGTAACATAAATATGTATCTTCAGAATCCTTTCATTGTTCTTCTGACACTTTACTAAGCCTTAGAGAGGTTATTAACTTGCCCACAGTGGTGTAAGCAATAAGCATTATAGCCTATTTCTCTTTTCAGGGCCCATCCTTTTAATCATTGGCCATTACTCCAACTGAAAAATCTTTAATTTTTGATTAAAGCAAATTCCCATGGTACTCTCTAAAAGGTGATATTTTTGTAAATCTTCAGAGTGGCCTCTGAGTGTATTTGAAGAAAGGAATTTTCATTCATTTATAAATACTTTGCTATTTAGACTATTACCACTGACTGGCCTTCTCTCAAATTTTAGAGGGCTAAATGTACTTTAAACAAACCTTTCTACAAATGGAGTGAAGTCTATAATGGTTTCTTTTGCTGCTCACAGATGTTGATGAATGCACATCAAATCCCTGCACTAATGGAGATTGTGTTAACACACCTGGTTCCTATTATTGTAAATGTCATGCTGGATTCCAGAGGACTCCTACCAAGCAAGCATGCATTGGTAAGGCAGTTTGCTTTCACATATGAAAATGTTCCATGAAATATAGTGACCAAGGCTGTTGAGGTTAAAAGCAAATTTATTAAAACATGGAATAAAATAAATGTTGTTACCTTATTACAGATTTATTTATAGTACCCTCAGAGATTCTCCTTTTAAACATAAACACTGTTTGCATATGTAACCCAGGCAACATGGTATCTGGCTTCACAAAAATTCAGTTTATCTTCCTTCCTTAGATCAGAGCTTCCTTTCTCCAAATAACATCAGTAACCTTCTCTGATTAACTGAGTTTAAGATTTATAGTCATTTTCAACTACTGTTTTCTTTGAATCCCACACATAGTCCAACACCAAGTCATGCCTGGTCTTTATTCATAGCTTCAGTGCTACACCCACCACCCTGGTCCAAACGCGCTACCTCATTGCTGATTCAGCTCAGAATTCTTTTACCAGATGACTGCCTGTCTTCTTTTTCATTTCCTATTCATCCACAGGTAGTTGCTTGAATCAACTTCCCAGCAGTTTTCATTGTATTACTCTTAATCTAGAAATTCTGTAGTTACTTTACACTTATCCAACATCGTGTTCTGACTTTTAAGGCCTTCATCCACTATGTCAAAAACAGCCGCAACCAGTAATTCCAGCTGTCTTGCCCACCCTTTCTTAGGCTTACTGGAGACCCTCTTTTTTTTTTTTTTTTTCCTTTCTCTCTTCAGCTACTATAAGAGCTGTAAAATTGCTTGCACCTACCTATCCAAAAAAATTTAAAAAAAAAACAAAAACTGCTGAGAGACAGAAATTTTGCTAAAGAAACAACATGATTTTGAATATTTAAAATTCCATTTCTTATCTTACTGTGTTTATCTGTAAGTATTGTAAAAGAATAATGTTTGGCCATTCTCAATCTTCCTAGATATTGATGAGTGCATCCAGAATGGGGTTCTTTGTAAAAACGGTCGATGCGTGAACACAGATGGAAGTTTCCAGTGCATTTGCAATGCCGGCTTTGAATTAACTACAGATGGAAAAAACTGTGTTGGTATGGAAATTGCCTGCTCCCTTGCAAAAGATTTTAAAAGGATATACATTTTTATTTAGAACCATATACTATTTCCATGAAAGCTCACACACCACGTATGTGAGATCTTCAGGTAACTTAGGTAAAATGTAAATGCATTTAATATAAGACTGTTAAAGCAAAAGGACAGGTTTTTTTTGTTGTTGTTGGGGGGACACGGTCGGGAGAGAAATGTTGTAACAATGAATAATTTACTGCTTCTGAAATTTTCCTGTGTGTTACATGTTAAATTGTAAGTAACAGTTGTTCTTCATAAGTTTAGATGATTACTAGTCCCTACTCTATTTCAGGTATTTGGGTTACAACACTGACAAAATAGAAAAGGTTTTCCCATCCTCCACTAACTAGAGGAATATAAAAATGCTTGACATATGCAGTACACAAATCTCTAAAATTGTGGCCTGTGATGTCTAGCAATGCAATGGATACCAATACACTACAGAAATATTGTTTACAAAGCAACACATCATATTCATCTACTAATGAAAGTCCAAATCATTCCATTTGCAGTGAGGTCTGCCATTGCCTTATTTTCTTATAAAATAAACACTAAATTATATTATCTTTTTGGTATACAAAGTAACACACTACTCATGGTTTTTGTGGTTTTAACAGGAACTAAGCACAAAATTTATTTAATTCTTTTTCTTTATATCCGTATACTAAAGGTCCTTTCCACTCTCCACACTATTTTCTCTCATTCAGTTGGCGTTCTTTTTTTACAAAAACTAAAAACCATGAGCACATGGCTCATTTATGTAGTGGAATTTGACTGGGGGTTGTTTGTGGAAGAAGAAGGAATTAGTTCCCTCAAGGCCAGTGTTCAAAGTCACTCTCTCCTCTTCCGCAGATCATGATGAATGTACAACTACCAACATGTGTTTGAATGGAATGTGCATCAATGAAGATGGCAGCTTCAAGTGCATCTGCAAACCAGGATTTGTCTTGGCTCCAAATGGACGTTACTGTACTGGTATGTGTGGCTTTCAGATAGGAAAGTGACCATGATTGAAACCACCTTTTTTATTTGAATGAACCATGGAAGAATTACTTCAGCTTCCTCGTGTGGCTTTCATATTATTCACATTTCTTGCTAATTCAATAAGGCAGGTGTCTAAAGCTTTCTAGAAAAACATACATTGTGGTCTAGGGAACAGTAATATCTTAACAAAAATAATAATGGTATAGGAAAAATTAAGAGACTGACAGATTGGTTTTAGCAAGTCATGTGGAAAACAATGTAGAAATAATTTCTCTCAACTGCTTGGCTGAATAAAAAAGAAGAAGAAAAAATCTTGAAAGGTTTTTGTTTTGTATGCATTCTCAGAAGTAGATTTTCCACTGTCATTCATTATGGGTTTAGTATTACATCTTTTCCATAAAGCTAATATACAGATCATTTGTAACTGTATCATTATCTAAAAATCTTACATTGATTTAGTGAAGACATCTTAATATTGCAATTAATTATTTTGTTTATGAAGCCATTTTGAAGACCAACCTCTAGTGATAACCTTAATAAGCTAAAGATGTGCCTCTTGGAAATAAATGAGACCTTATTATGTTTGTACTCACAATTGGAATTTAATAAAATGGAATACATTTTGCAGCTTCTACTTAGAAGCAAATTTTTCTTTCTCTTTTTTAAATTTATTTATTTTTGAGACAGGCTTTTGCTCTGTCACCTAGGCTGGAGTGTAGTGGCACAATCTCAGCTCACTGCACCTTTGACTCCTGGGCTCAAGCATCCTCCCACGTCAGCCTTCCAGGTAGCTGAGACTACAGGCACGTGTTCCCATGCCTAGCTAATTTTGTTTTATTTTTTGTAGAAATGAGGTCTCACTATGTTGCTCAGGCTGGTCTCAAACTCATGGGCTCAAGCAGTCCTCCTGCCTCAGCCTCCCAAAGTTCTGGGATTACAGGCATGAGCCACCGCACCTGGCCAAATTTTTGTTTTTCTTTGTTTCCTTCTTTAAAACAAAATTAACTCCATAAATGATGTTTTGCCTTCAATTGCACAAACTTAATCTAAGTACCAGATAAGGATCATGCTCAATTCCTATAATTTCAATGAATTACAATGAAATTCTAGGGACAGTAGAAATTAAAAAATTGAGACTGAATTCTTATGTTTCTGAATAACAGATAGATTTTTGACTGTCCAAGGAGGAAGAGTACTGTAGTTCTGATGGTTGAACTCATGACTGGGATGTCATCTCAGGGTTAGCTGATTTGGATTTAACACAAGATAGAAAATTGCCATTATGCTGCAGTGTGTAGAATTATGTTACAGTATGTGACTTTATTTCAGCCTTTTTAAAGAAACTTCAGTATACATCTAAAGATGAGTTTGACCTCACCAGTTTCTGCTTTCTGGAAATTAGTTCTTATTAATTATTTAATTACAAATGTTGTGAAGATTTTCAGTATTCCTGAGTTGGCAGCTCTGTGTTTGAAGTCTCCTTCATCTTTTGGGGAAGTCATTTAATGCTGGGTTACATTTGATAAATTCAAGTGGATTGAAAATTAAAAGATATACCTCAAGTTATTTTGTTATTGTGAAATGATCAAATAAATATCAGCATAGGATCTACTTATAGTTAAAGTGTCTGTGTGTGAAAAAAATTACAGAAATTTACCTTAATTTTTAAAGAATTTGTTTTACTTAACTAATTTGAATTATTTAACATTAAATGGGATCACCAAATAAATAATGAAAAAGAAGATTGTGAGGCTTTTTTTTCCTCAATGGGTAAAGTAAAGCAACTTTTACTGTCTTTCTGAAATGTGTTGAAAGGATTGCATTTGCATATAATATCTGTTACCACACTTATTTGTTCTTCACAAATTATAAAGTTATAAACAAAAGGTTGGTAGTATTGAGCAGTGGCAGCAAGTAAACCCTGTAGTAAAGTTATATTTACCCAGTAACTACTTGACTTCTGTCACCCACTGCGCAGATGTTGATGAATGCCAGACTCCAGGAATCTGCATGAATGGGCACTGCATCAACAATGAAGGGTCCTTCCGCTGTGACTGTCCCCCAGGCCTGGCTGTGGGCATGGATGGACGTGTGTGTGTTGGTAAGTGAAACATTTTACAATGGCCCCACTGTGCAAAATCATCTTTGAAAAGCCAACAGAGATATTTCTATACAATGGAATAATATTCACTATAAAAAGAGTACATACTAAAACATGGATAAACCTTGGAAAGATTACACTAAGTGAAAGAAGCCAGTCACAAAACACCATACTGTATATGATTCCATCCATGTGAAATCTCCAGAATCGGCAAGTCTGTTGAGACAAAGTAGATTCGTGTTAGGACAGAGAGGATGGGGGTGGTGGGAGAATGGGGTGGGAGCTAAAAGATATTTTTGAGGTGATAAAAATGTTCTAAAATCACCTGTAGTGATGGATAAACACATCAGTAAATATGCTAAAAACTATTAAATCATACACTTTAAAGTGATGTATTCTATGATATGTAAATTATATATTAACAAAACTATTTTTTTAATGGGCAGGAACCCCCAGATAGCCCCCTTCAGAACCTTCAGAAGTCTCTGATGACATGCAAGTCAAAAATGCTGGAGAAGAAAAAAATATATTTTTAAACCAGCATACTTGATAGTATTAGATAACTGAATCCTAAACACAGTGCATTTCAGTTTTATAATTAATAACAAATAAGATATGTAATGGGAATTATAGTTATAGATAAGTAAACTCTTGGTTTTGCCCTAACAAAACTTAAAATATAAATATTGGACTTACATCAAAAGCTCGAAATGTTTTTAGTTACTCCTCATCACCATGCAACTAGCTGCAGAAGCAAGAGAATAAAAAGTATGAGCAAGAATATATATTTTATTCTAAGCCTTTCAGATTTCTCCAGGATACTTTTGTCAAATTGATCCCATGAAAATCAGTCAGAAGTACCAGGCCCAGCTTTGAAGAGGCAGGCAAAACAGAAGTGTCACTGGTGTTTGGGAACCCCAACAGTATATCCCAAAGATAAGGATAGCAGAATGAGTGGTAAAAATACATTTAATGCAGTTTTCTCTCCAAAAATGCTTTCATGAGGTGTCTAGGGTGAATTAGCCATTGTATACCCTCTGTTTTTCATGTTGTACAGTAAAACATAGAAATAGGATTTCAAAGTATATTTGAGAGATACAACATTCTTAGACATAGTTAATACTTTACTCCTACTGATGAGAATCAAAACATTTGGATCCCAAAGGTGGAGGAGAAACAGTAGAGAATTCGCAGATGGAAATAATCTGTTCACTCAAATTTATCCACTCTATCCAGTCAAAGATTTATTTCACCCTACAAAGTGTCAGCACTTTGTTCAGGGATATTTCAAATACAGCAACTGGAAGAATATAGCTTCTTCCTGTGTACAGAGCTAAAATATTTTCAGTTGCTTTAATATATTTACTTGCTTTTTTCCTTAACCTAAATGATTCTGTTGAGATCTACCGTGAGTACAAAGCCAGTTTTGGAGGGAGAAATTATTTTTCTCTTAAGTAACCAACATGTGATTTGTTGCTAGGAATTCAGTAAAACATAAAATTTCATTCTCTTGTTCACATCCAGGAAACACATTGGAAATTGTCGTAAAGCCTCCTCCAGTTTTTCGTCATTGTGGTCATTTATACTTTTTAAAATAAAAACATTATTTGTCATGTGTATAAAATTATATATTGTTTCTATAATGTGCTAGATGTTTTCTTCACATCTTTTGACTTGATGTCACTTTTTAGACCCATTGATTCTTTAAGTTTGAGATGAGGCCTGGCGCAGTGGCTCATGCCTGTAATCTCAACATTTTGGGATTCCATGGTGGGCAGATCACTGGAGCCCAGGAGTTCAAGACCAGTCTGGGCATCATGGTAAAACCATATCTCTGCAAAAAGTACAAAAATTCACCAGGTGTGGTGCCTATAATCCCAGCACTTTGGGATTCTGAGGTGGGCAGATTGCTTGAGCTCAGGAGTTCAAAACCAGTCTGGGCTTCATGGTGAAATCTTATGTCTGCAAAAAAATACAAAAATTAGCCTGGCATGGTGGCACATGCGTGTAATTCCAGCTACTTGGGAGGCTGAGGCAGGAGGATTGCCTGAGCCCTGGAGGTGGAGGTTACAGTGAGCTATGATTGTGCCACTGCACTCCAGCCTAGATGACAGAGTGAGACCCTGTCTCAAAAAAAAAAAAAAGAAAAAGAAAAAATAAATGAATCACTGTTATGAAAAACTATTAGGATAAGCATTTTAATTTTAAATCTCTTTTTTGTTTGTTCATTTTTCTTCTGTAGATATTAAAGATGTGTTTGGGTTTTGTTTTGTTTTTTTCAGTTTCAGGTAATTAGGCTACGATTTTAACTAGTATGTTAAAATACAACTCACCAGCAAGTTTATAAACAAAAGACAACCATATCTTTATCTTTCCCATTCATTCAAAATTTATTTTTAAGTTTATTCAATGATGCAGTTTAGTAAATAAGGAAGAAAACTCAGGCCACATGATAACTACTGAATATTCTTAAGTGACAAAAAAATTCTAAGATGACAGCAAGATACAGGACCTCTCTGTTCCTCCTTTCCTCTTTTGTTGTTTTGAGAATTAAATAAAGCTTTGAATGGTGTGTAGCACATAATGAATGCCCACTAAGTTAACTACTATTGATATTATTGTTATTAAATTAGAATAGTGGCACCATGTCTAGGTCATAGTCTTAAGAGTTGCTGCTTTAAGTTATAAATAAAAGTTGATATTAAAGAAAGAAGAATAAAATAAAGTTAGCATTTTGCATCCATACATATTTTACTCATGGTATGTAGAATCTGCTAATTACCTGAGGAAATTTTAAATCTTTCCATTTTTTAAGAAAGAAAAGGCGCTGGGTATGGTGGCTCACACCTGTAATCCCAACACTTTGGGAGGCCGAAGCAGGCGGATCACCTGAGGTCAGGAATTTGAGACCAGCATGGTCAACATGTCTAAACCCCGTCTGTACTAAAAATACAAAATTAGCCGGTCGTGGGGTGTGCACCTGTAATCCCAGCTACTCGGGAGGCTGAGGCAGGAGAATCACTTGAACCCAGGAGGTGGAGGTTGTAGTGAGTCAAGATCATGCTAGTCAAGACCACTCCATCCTGAGTGACAGAGCAAGACTCTGTCAAAAAAAAAAAAAAGAAAGAAAGAAAGAAAAGGAAGGGAGGGAGGGAGGGAGAAAGGAAGGGCATGCAGAAATCTGCTAACATATGGAAAAGGTGCATTTAGGTCCAGTCTGTCGCCAGAGCATTCTTGTGAGCATATTCTGATGGTGCTACTGGTATTGTTCCTCTTATCCTATCCTGTGTACAGTGGTTCAGTTACATTTGAATAGATACTATGAGCTAGGTTGCCAGTTTGGGGTCTTTGAACGGGAAAAGGTCAGTAGGGAGATAATGAGTTATCTCAATTGATTGTTCACAGTATCAGTTACAGATAGAACTCCTTGTTCTGCTTTTCCTGCCTTCTCACTGCTGCAATCTACTAGTCTTAGAAAAAAAATAGAAGAGGGAAATAAAGTGGTCACCACTTTTTTTTAAGTACTTCAGGGGTGTCCTAGGCACTGTGCTTAGTGCGCAACAAATATACTTTCATTTACTATGCAAACTGTATCCTTATTTAATGAATAAGGAAGATGTTAAGTAATTTATGTAAGATCATCTTGTGGGGATCTGAACCTTGGGAAGTTTATGTCCCTAAAACCCACGCATAAGTTATGCTACTTTCTTTGTCATGAAACTTCTGGTGTTGGGCACTCTAAAGAGATTAGTTCACCTGTAATGCAAACTACCATATATAACATGTCTCACTCTTCCAGTGAGCTCAATGGGCCTTTTATCTGCTTGCTTCTAAAAATTCTGCATGGCATATGCTCTAAACCCAAAAGCAGAAATAACTTTGCCTGTTCATGAATGCCTTCCAAGATCATCAGTAATGCCCAAAGAACTCACAGAAATCATAATGGAAATCATGAACCATGTTGTATTTGTGCAAATTTGCCTTCAAGTGAAATCTGTGCTTGTGTGTATCTCAGAGGATACACTGCCAAACTCAGCCACAGCACAGGCAGCACAGGGTTCTCTTGAGTTGACTCCTTAGGGATGGGGTTGGTGAATCCCATGGCCTCCTTCCATTTAAGCACACACGTATCTCATTTTTAATGCAGCCATAAATCACTGTTTTAATCAAAAATGCCCCCAGGTCATAAGAAATTACTGGATGACCATTTTGCATAACAAGCAGATAACATTTTTTTCCAACAAGTTGTGAATAGTTACAGGTATTTATAATAGAGGTGATCTCTGGTAAAATTGCCAGGTCAGTATACTGCTTAAAAATTGTACTGGTTCTTTGCCCTTTATGATCTGAGTTTTTTATAGTTCACCGTTTACTGTCTCATAAAGTTGTAGGATATTTTATGAGAATTAAGAGAGAACTAAGCAGAATATGCTTCTTTGGGGTATAGCATTACTTACTACAAAGAGGAAGAGTTTTGGAAGTCACATAAACCTTGTCTGAACCCCAGCTCAGGCACTGGATATTCAAGGACTTCAAACTACATAGGTAGCTGTGAACCTCGTCTTCCTCATCTATAAAGTGTATGTAATGACCACTCCTATAGAGCTATTGACCTGACTGTTCAATGAGATAATGTCTGTGAAGCAATGAGCACAATGCCAAGAGCACATATGGTAGTTAACTATTTTTATAACTGGATTTACTGAGTTTCTGAGGTTAAAACAGTCACAAGCAGTATCCTGGGGATTGAAAAGAAAGGCCTCCTAACTCGGAAAGTGGGAGTAAGAAATCTCATGCCCAAGCAGTATCACCTTAAGGTAGATTAACTTCATTGCACTTCATTGTTCATGAGAACTTCCAAAATTGAAATAAGAAGTGTCATTTTGAATATAGCATAGGCAGTGATTAGAGCTCCAAGTATTCTTTATAATTGTGGAAATATCCTAGGTTCCATGAAAGGTTTGTAAGGATACGTTGGACAATGGATACTGTGTAGCTCATAAAACTTACTAAAGAAAACAAACTAGAGTCGGTGATATGCATCCGTTCTTTTCCTCACTCAGAAAACATTTGTTGATTTCCTAACACTATTAGATGCCAAAGATGCACAATAAAAGTCTCAGATGCCCTTGAAAAGCTTCCAATCTGGTGGCCACTTAGGTTAAAAGAAGCCTTCTGTTTCGAAATCTCTTTGTCTCTATCACTGCCTCAAGTCATTGTTTTTGTATATTCTTTAGATACTCACATGCGCAGTACCTGCTATGGAGGAATCAAGAAAGGAGTATGTGTGCGTCCTTTCCCCGGTGCAGTGACCAAGTCCGAATGCTGCTGTGCCAATCCGGACTATGGTTTTGGAGAACCCTGCCAGCCATGCCCTGCAAAAAATTCAGGTAGTCATATGTGCCATTTTCAGAGTTGATAAAGAATCAAGAAATGCAACCTTAGATGTTTGGCCAAAGAGAACATCAGCTCTTAAGTGTTTCATCATTAATTTTAACTGAAGAAAAGAAAGCCAATCCTGTATTGATATGTGAGGCATATAATAAGGAGATTTGGCTTGTGTTTATGTATGATTTCTAGGCCGACAGAACACAGTGAATAAAAAAATCTATTTGCTGGCTGAGTGTGGAGGCTCACACCTGTAATCCCAGCACTTTGGGAGGCTGAGGCAGGGAGATCACTTGAAGCCAGGATGAGACCCTGTCTTGGCAGAAAAAACAAAAAATTCTTAATTAGCTAGGTGTGGTGGCACACACCTGTAGTCCCACCTACTAGGGAGGCTGAGGTGCGGGGCATCACTTGAGCCCAAGGGTTTGAGGCTGCACTGAGCCATCATTGTGCCACTCCACTCCAGCCTGGGTAACAGAGTGAGATGCTGACTCTTTAAAAAAACAAACAAAAATCTATTTACTTATATATTTGTGATTATTATAAGAGGTTTTTTTTACTTGAACATGATAGCCTCAGTTTCCTTGATCTGTGCTGTCACAGTGAAGACAAATAGCATAAAATTTACTTACCACTTTCAAGGTTATAAACACAACAAGAACTCAATTTGATTTTATATATATATGTGTGTGTATATATATATATAAAGATCTCTCTCTATATATATATCTTGACACCAAGTGGTCTCAAGTCACAGTCTCAGACAGTAATTCCAAACTCTTAGGTCAATAAGATTGACTCTTGTCTAGTCATACTTTAACTAAACCCGTATTGAATGTATATTGAATATATGTGAGTACAGTAGGGATTCTAACATAAACACAGTCTGTGTTTTTCCTTAAAGTTTTGAGTAGTTGAGAATACAGGCAGGCAAATGTATAAATTACAATTTAGTGTAATTAGCACCTTAAAAGTTTCATAAACAAGTTTGGAGAGAGCACAGAGGAAGGAGCAATTAGTAGCCCAGGGAAGCTGGGAAAGACCTCACAGAAGGGGCACGTTTAGTTTGGTCTTGAAAAAAATGAGTAAGAACTTTCCATGTGGAGGGTACAGGAAAGCATTCCTGCAACGGAAATGTCTTGTAATTCTCCTAAACATCACAAATGGAGTCTTCATACATGGAAATAATGATTTGATGCATCTAGAAGAATTACTGAGTGTGACCTTTTTTTTTTAAAAGAAAGATAGTGAGGAGAACCTAGCTCTAAAATGTACCACACTGAATTATGCATATTATCAAAGAAGTTCAAAAATTGGTATAAGACTAGACAAAAAGCTAAGTGAACTAATGAAATGAATCTAGAAACCTGAGTATGAATATGAATTAGGATATAGCAAAGCATTTTGGAGCAGCAAGGAAAAAGATTAAATAATAACTATCGTTGATAACTTTTGGAAAAAAATAAGAAGTTAGGTCCCTACATAAAACATTAAAACATAATTTTCTTATAGAATATAAATTCTTTTTTATTTTGTAATGGTAGAAGACTTTGAAAGCAGGCCTAAATAGTAAAATACACAAGTAAACTGGAAAAATATTTTTACGTATCATTTCTTAATCTTTATAGAATTTACATTAATAAGGAAAGTTGAAATCCTCTATAGAAAAAAGAGCAGTGTACACAAGCAGGATTTCAGAAAGTAGAAATTCAAAAGGAAGAATACCATGTAAAAAGATGCCCACTCTCCATAAAATTAAAAATAAAATACAGTGCCATTTTTGTTTAGCAGATTGGTATACTTGATTGATTCTTCCCAGTGATAATGAGGGTATTAAAAAAATGAATACTGTCTTATACTGCTGATAGAAGGGTAATTTGGGGGCATTTTAGGAGGGGAAGAACTATCTAAAACCTTAAAAGGGGCATAAACTTTGAGAGTTTTACTTATAAGAGATTATCCTAGTGATATAATTAAACTTCATATTATTTATGATAGTTGCTAGAAGTTGGACAAACCTAATTTCACCAGTAAGAGATTGATCGAATAAATGTGGTACCTCTACGTAACTGAGAAAACAATATTAAATGGCCTATTCAGTGGGACATTGACATGATATGTCTGTGATAGAGTACCCAGCAACCAAGTCTGCTTCTCCACTTACAACTTCTGTGACCTTGGTCAAGTTACTGCACTTTTCTGTGTTCCTCTTTTTCTCACTTGTAAAAAAGAAAATACAGTAGTATTGAGTTTGTGGTATTGGGAAGATTAACTAAATTGTTGGGTGTAAAATGTAGAACAATACCAGGCACTTGGTAAGTACTATGACCTACATTTTGGCTGCTATTATTTTATTATTGAGGAAAAAGTTAAATATCAAGCTCTGTAAGACCATTTATATTTTTCTTAATGTTTCTTTATGTAGAAAATATTAGTAACATTTATATATATTAATAATATTCAGGATGATTATTACAAGTGATTTTTATTTACTCTTTTATGCTTTTTTATGAGTTCAGAATTTTATAATAATCGTGTGCTAGAAAATGGTAATTTTTTTCACTTTAAAAACTAATGCACAAATAATTCTTCCTAATGGGTAGTTTTGGGGTTATGAAATGATTTGTATATGGAATAGGTATAGTTAAGTTTTTAATTCTTCTATTTCTTTTTGTCATACAGCTGAATTCCATGGCCTTTGTAGTAGTGGAGTAGGTATCACTGTGGATGGAAGAGGTAACTCTAGTTAATCTCAATTTTATAATAATCATATGACATAATTGTATAGATTTATAATTATAATATTAATATGATTATATTTAATATGAAAATGTAATATTATAAAATAATAAGATTATCTCCTAGAGCAGTAGTTATAAGCTAGATGATATTAAGTGATACGTAGATGCACATTTTCATCTTGGATAAATATTTATCTGTTAAATATACATTGTTAAAAATGTCACTAACAAACTACCCTCCTGATTTCATGCAATCATTGCTTAAGAATAGATGTGACATTTAAGTTAAAAAAAAAAAGAGTGAGTCAATTTTATGAGAAAATATTAAGTACTGGTGCAGATAGGGTTAGAAAAATAAATAGTATTCAAGAGATATTGGATATGGATCAAGTTTGAGATATACTGGCTGAAATAATTTGTTAAGACTATGTATACCTAAGAATAATAAAATATTTCTCTCCAAGTAAAGAAGTAAGATTCACTAAAATTTTTCTTGCTTTCAATTTTGTATTATGGTTAACAAAACTCCAGTATGGAATCTTGAACACTTAAGTACATATGTGTTTATAATTTTCAAATTCTTTTATATTTTAGTATACATATAGATTCATTTATACATTAATAAAATGGGTGTTATTAATCTTCTATATCTATGAATATGTATATATAAGAAGAATATATATATAACCATATATATATATGTATTCTTCTACCCTTGTGTTTGAGAAGGCTTTAGTCAAGTTATAGATGGTAGGCAGTAATGTTGAATCTTTATAATAAACATCTAAACCAGAGTAAAAAGTAAACTTTTACAAGGATGTTTTTCCCAAGTATAAAATGAAAGACATTTCCAAAGTATTTAAGGTCTTCCAAATTATTGAAAACAATAGCATCAAAATTTGAGCTTGGTGACCAAAATTTGATTTTGGGCTTACTCTTTCATTATATTCCCTGACAATATAGCCTCTCCAGCAGAGCCAGTCACTATTGGAAACTACTTGATCATTCATACAAGCACATCAGTGCACAAGTTCCACTTCCCCTCGGTGATACAGTAGTAGTAGTCATGTTCGTGGCTCGTTATAAAATATCATGTTCTGAAGCATCCACATTTAAAGTGTCCTCTCCGTTAATTTCACATATCAGCAATGAAAAACACTAAATATTACTTGACCACAGAAAAAGTAATAAAATAGAAATATCCTGTACCTTTGGGGACCATAAAATTATGTGGGCCACCCTAATAAATCCCTGTCCTTTAATTAGATAGGTACAATATCTATCAAATTAAGTTTTCCTTTGGATTTTGAGCTAACTGCCTTTAAATTGTCTTTATTAATTTTAATTTTATTAATTTTATCATAAATGCTGGCATATTTCATGATTTAACTCTTTGAATTTCTGCCAGCTTCTTTCATTTTTCTTTTGATTTACCAGTGAAGTGTCCTATGTCTCTCAGTTTTATTTTCTTACTCCTTGTTTTCAGTTCCTTTTCCTTTCTGAAAGGCAGGCAAATTGTGAGTTTGCAGAGTTAAACACTTCATATGTTGAATGGTCTTTATTAGACCTGCATTTATCAATAAACAATAACGTGTAGGAGCATTAAACTTTCAATATTTAATGCAGATATCAATGAGTGTGCTTTGGATCCTGATATATGTGCCAATGGGATTTGTGAAAACTTACGTGGTAGTTACCGTTGTAATTGCAACAGTGGCTATGAACCAGATGCCTCTGGAAGAAACTGTATTGGTAAGTTATTTGTTATATTTATGCAAGAACCTTTCATATAGTTTAATCCCATGGATTATACTAGCAGTAAAAACACAAATAAATGATTAAAACTAAAAACCAGACAGTTTTTCTTGTTTTCTTCGTATTATACATTGATAGGAAAATATCAGAATCAAACAAATTTTGTTACATAGTAACAAACTTCTTGGTGGTACCTATTTGTTTTTAAAATATTCTTTTCCCAAATTAACATACTCAGTTATTAGCCTGTTGTTTTCCTGAATGTACCTTAATCCTGTAATTTTTTACTAAGAATTTGACTTCAAAAATTAACAGGTCAGTATGGATAAAAGTAAGTCAAGAAAATAAAGTGTTACAGGTTGAGAGAATTTTGACTTCATAAAGAAACAACCAGTTGCCACAATATGCCTAAACATGACAACTAAGACAAAGGTATTTCCTTTTCTAATTATAAGAGAATGATTGACGAAACTCAAGTATGTAATTTATGTTTAACGAA